AGTGGAAGGAAAAAGTGTGGAAGAAAAAGATACACAACCAACCGAGAGAACCGCAGCCTTATGAGGATTGTCAAGCAAAATCAATTCAAGAATTTGAGTGAACTTCACAAGGAATGGACTAAGGCTGGGGTCAAGGCATCAAGAGCCACCACACACAGACATGTCAAGGAATTTGGCTACAGTTGTCGTATTCCTCTTGTTAAGCCACTCCTGAACCACAGACAACATCAGAGGCGTCTTACCTGGGCTAAGGAGAAGAAGAACTGGACTGTTGCCCAGTGGTCCAAAGTCCTCTTTTCAGATGAGAGCAAGTTTTGTATTTCATTTGGAAACCAAGGTCCTAGAGTCTGGAGGAAGGGTGGAGAAGCTCATAGCCCAAGTTGCTTGAAGTCCAGTGTTAAGTTTCCACAGTCTGTGATGATTTGGGGTGCAATGTCATCTGCTGGTGTTGGTCCATTGTGTTTTTTGAAAACCAACGTCACTGCACCCGTTTACCAAGAAATTGTGGAGCACTTCATGCTTCCTTCTGCTGACCAGCTTTTTGAAGATGCTGATTTCATTTTCCAGCAGGATTTGGCACCTGCCCACACTGCCAAAAGCACCAAAAGTTGGTTAAATGACCATGGTGTTGGTGTGCTTGACTGGCCAGCAAACTCACCAGACCTGAACCCCATAGAGAATCTATGGGGTATTGTCAAGAGGAAAATGAGAAACAAGAGACCAAAAAATGCAGATGAGCTGAAGGCCACTGTCAAAGAAACCTGGGCTTCCATACCACCTCAGCAGTGCCACAAACTGATCACCTCCATGCCACGCCGAATTGAGGCAGTAATTAAAGCAAAAGGAGCCCCTACCAAGTATTGAGTACATGTACAGTAAATGAACATACTTTCCAGAAGGCCAACAATTCACTAAAAATGTTTTTTTATTGGTCTTATGAAGTATTCTAATTTGTTGAGATAGTGAATTGGTGGGTTTTTGTTAAATGTGAGCCAAAATCATCACAATTAAAAGAACCAAAGACTTAAACTACTTCAGTCTGTGTGCACTGAATTGATTTAATACACGAGTTTCACAATTTGAGTTGAATTACTGAAATAAATGAAATAAAACTTTTCCACGACATTCTAATTTATTAAGATGCACCTGTACATTCTAATTTATTGAGATACACCTGTATATCCTTGTAGGTTTAAGTTTTAAAAAAATCTGTTATATACTAGCTCTGTTGCTTGGTATAAATTACCTGGGTGTATTCAATAGATACAAGTTGATAATATTTTTAGAAGGGAAGTAAAAAAAAAATGGTTGTTTTATCATTGATGGTTTGAAGTTTGTGTAGTGAGTTTCTGAAGTGGTAGGGCAGGGTTTTGACACAAATTTCACGATTCGATTCTAATTCACAAGCTTCCAATTCAATCCGATTCCCGATTCGATTCAATATCGCTTATTTTGGATATATATCAGGTACACATGCCAAATTTTCTCAAGGAAAAAAAAATCTTAACTAATGCTGTAAAATATACACGAGCGCCACTTTGGTACTACATTACTATAATACTGAAGGTTAAAACTGACTGATTTTTTAGGCTATACAACAGTTTAAATTACACTTAATGAAGTCTATAATAAAATTGACAATGACATAATATTTCTACTTCAATACGTTTTTTAAAATGTAAACATTTAAAAGGTGGCGGTCATAAAAAAAAAAAATTTAACATTAAAGAACAGTAAAAATTATAATGAATATATTACATGGTGCATATATTTAGCAAAATGCCCCTCTGTACAGTTTATTTTTCTATCGGATTAATGAGTTTATGGTCACCAAATATGTTTTTCTGAGGTAAATGTGACGTTACGTGACATTGTTTACAAGCTGTTATATTGATGTCTTTGCGCGGCTGAAACATTAATTGAGCGATTACATGAGACGGGATACGGCTTGTAAAGTTGTACTCTTTCTTTTAACTTACCTTTGGATGTTTAGTCATGTTTATTTTGTGCTGAAACTGGTTTTAATGTGGAGATGATCAGTTCACGTGTGCCTCGCGCTACCGCATCTGTCAACTCCACATTAAACAGCGCCAAAACAGCATTTATTGTTTGAATACTGCAGTACAATGGACAGAATTTGAAATCTGAGACCGTGTTTCATATTAAAAGTAGCAAAGCACAATGCTTATTGCAATATATTGGATGGGAGGCACCCTTCAATGTTCTGTCCATTAACTGAAAACAGGCTAGAGTAATCGATTCTTGGGATTTAAGAATCGATATTCTGTAAAAATCAGAATCGATTAAAATCGAGATATCAATATTTTTTACCCAGCCCTATTAAGTGGATTGCACTCCATTTATGATTTGTTTGTCCATTGTTTTTTTAAATATCGAGGACAACAATGGAAATAAGCTGAAGGCTTTTTTGTGTATTTTATCCTCAGCAGTTTTGAAATGTGTATGTATCTTTTTGGACTTTGTTTTAAATTTTGTCAAATAAAACGAACAAAAAACAAGATTTGGGAATCGATTAAAATCGAGATATTAGTCAATATTTTTTACCCAGCCCCATTAAGTGGATTGCACTCCATTTATGATTTGTTTGTCCATTGTTTTTTTAAATATCGAGGACAACAATGGAAATAAGCTGAAGGCTTTTTAGTGTATTTTATCCTCAGCAGTTTTGAAATGTGTATGTATCTTTTTGGACTTTGTTTTAAATTTTGTCAAATAAAACGAACAAAAAACAAGATTTGGTCTGAGAGGATTGTTTCAGACAGGAAAGTGTGTTTTCTGAACATTTTTAACCTCAAATGAAGTTCCATTTGAAGTCTGAAAACTTGATCATAAGTAAATATTTGACATTTTAGGTGTTGTCAATGTCAGTATTGTATGTTTATGCTGTTAATACGTCAGTATTGTACGATTTAGTGTCTGTGCAAACATAAGTAAAAGTATGTTTTGTAGAACCTAAGTGGATTGCACTCCATTTATGATTTGTTTGTCCATTGTTTTTTTAAATATCGAGGACAACAATGGAAATAAGCTGAAGGCTTTTTTGTGTATTTTATCCTCAGCAGTTTTGAAATGTGTATGTATCTTTTTGGACTTTGTTTTAAATTTTGTCAAATAAAACGAACAAAAAACAAGATTTGGTCTGAGAGGATTGTTTCAGACAGGAAAGTGTGTTTTCTGAACATTTTTAACCTCAAATGAAGTTCCATTTGAAGTCTGAAAACTTGATCATAAGTAAATATTTGACATTTTAGGTGTTGTCAATATGTCAGTATTGTATGTTTATGCTGTTAATACGTCAGTATTGTACGATTTAGTGTCTGTGCAAACATAAGTAAAAGTATGTTTTGTAGAACCACATTTTATGTAAAATACATACGAATTCTCACGAGATCACATTGCACATACAAAATGTCAGTATTGTATGTTTATGCTGTTAATACGTCAGTATTGTACGATTTAGTGTCTGTGCAAACATAAGTAAAAGTATGTTTTGTAGAACCACATTTTACGTAAAATACATACGAATTCTCACGAGATCACATTGCACATACAAATTTACATATACACATACATACAGAAAACATACTTAATGCTTAAAAAGAACTAAAAAAACACTGGCATTATTATAACTGAATAATGGCCTTTAGCTGTGTTCAGGCCAGGAATCTTATCAAGCGTGTGAAGTTCGGAGTAGACTGGACATTGTATGGCTGTGTTACAACAACTTCCTGCTTCATGGCATTAATAGGATTAGCACTCAGTACGTGTTGCTTGAATGTTTCTAGCATGTTTAGCTCATAATGGCATATATTACTGTGCTGCTAACAGTGCATCACAGCGTTAAACATGTCACTTCCTTTTGCCAGTAGGTGGTGCTATGACTATAACCGAACATGAGCATGTGTTCAGGCCAGGACTCTTATCAAACATGTGAAGTTTGGGGCAGATTGTATATCGCATGCCTGAGTTACAGCAACTTCCTGTTTCTAGCCTATTTACAATTGCTGACATTTTTTAATATGTTGCAAGGAGTCCATAACAGTGTTAAACATGTCACTTCCTGTTGCCAGTAGGTGGTGCTACGACTTTAACTGAATATGGGCATGGACATGTGTTCAGGACAGAACAGTGTGAAGTTTGGGGCAGATTGGACATTGTATGCCTGAGTTATAGCAACTTCCTGTTTCATGGCGAAACATCAAAATTTGTCAGGCTGCCATGGACACGCCATTTGACAAAAACTCAAGATCTTTGTAATTTATGATTACCCTCACCAAATTTGAAGATGATCCAATTAAAGCTGTAGGAGAAGTTTGTTGAAGTACGAGGGCTGAAAATGGCAAAAACTGAACAAAAATCGGAGAAAATTCAAAATGGCTGACTTCCTGTTGTGTTTACGACTTCGCTCCAAAATAGTTTTTTTTGCAGGTGTAGGGATACAAGCATGTACCGAATTTCGCACACGTACGTAAAACGTAGCGGCAGGGGCTCTTTGTTTAAATTTGATAGGTGGTGCTATCGAGCCATTTTACCACTCTCAATTCTGAAACACATATGTAAATTTCCACCAGTTCACCAGTGTGCAATGTTTTCGAGCATGTTTAGGCTCTCAAAAATGTGATTCCCTTTGAAGACGACGACGACGAAGAAGAAACAGGGCACAGGGCAATTCTAAGAGCCCGATTGAGCTGAAAGTTAGAGCTGATGGAACACGACCTAATGCCTTGAAGGGCCTCGGTCTAAGTGTCTTTTTAAATATCTATGCTAAGGTCTTTCTCCCAGGACATCATAGGAGGAACCATTAAAATATTCAACAAATCTAGTAACAAGACCCTTCAAATTGAGTTCAGATGCCATACAAATATAAAAGACGGTCAGGGGATTTGTATGTTTCAAAATTTAGATATTACTTTTAATGTAATACCGTTCCAGTACCTTTCTAAAGAAATGAGAAGAGGGTAATCCAAGAAATCAGCTCCTTTTTCTTTTTAAACCTCGTCACTCTGACGAAAGCTGCAATTTCTTACCAAAATGAGTTTGCAAGTGATGTTTCAGTTTGCTTAGAAATGTGAATCTCTCTCCTGTGTGAATTCTCATGAACCTTTAGGTTCCTTTTTGCTGTGAAACCCTTTCCACACTGAGGGCAGATGAAAGATTTATCTCCTGTGTGAACTCTCATGTGATTATCAAGGTTTGTATTGCTTTTTAAACTCTTTCCACAGTGATGGCACATGAAAGGCTTTTCTCCGATGTGAATTTTAACATGATCCTGAAGGTGACTTGTGTCTGTGAAACTGCTTTCGCACTGATGACATTTAAAACGGTTTTCTCTTGAATGAATCCTCATGTGATAATTAAGGCTTACTCTATATATGAAACTCTTTCCACACTGAGCACATATGAATGGTCTCTCTCCAGTGTGAATTCTCATGTGAGTCTTAAAGTTTTCTTGGCGTGTGAAACTCTTTCCACACTGTTTGCAGGTGCAAGGTTTCACTCCAGTATGACATCTCATGTGACACTTAAGACCTCCACTTCGTATGAAACTCTTCTCACACAGTTTGCAGGTGTAAGGCTTCTCTCCAGTGTGAATTCTCATGTGGACTGTAAGGTTTTTATTCTGTGTAAAATACTTTCCACACTGAATACATGTGTATGGTCTCTCTCCAGTGTGAATTCTCATGTGAGTCTTAAGGTCTCCATTTCGTATGAAACCCTTCCCACACAGTTTGCAGGTGTATGGTCTCTCTCCAGTATGAGTTCTCATGTGGATATTAAGGTGACTTTCCCGTGTAAAAATCTTTCCACACTGAGAGCATATGAACTCTTTCTTTTCAATGTGAATTTTCATGTGGACTTTAAGGCTTTCATTTCGATTACAAACTTCTCCACACTGTTGACAGGTGAAAGGTTTCTCTCCAGTGTGAACTCTCATGTGATTCTTAAGACCTCCATTTTGTATGAAACCCTTCCCACACAGTTTGCAGGTGTACGGTCTCTCTCCAGTATGAGTTCTCATGTGGATATTAAGGTGACCTTCCCGTGTAAAACTCTTTCCACACTGAGAGCATATGAACCGTTTCTTTTCAATGTGAATTTTCATGTGGACTTTAAGGCTTTCTTTTGTATTAAAAATTTCTCCACACTGTTGGCAAGTGAAAGGTCTCTCTCCAGTGTGAATTTGCGCTTTTTGAGATTTTTTTGGTGTTGAATTCTTTTCATTCTGTGAGCAACCAATCGATTTTTCTCCAGGACTGAAATCATGATGTTTCTCATTTTGATCTTTCTCTTCTGTTTCATTCAGTTCTTGACTCTCCTCTTTCAGCTCCATCAGGTCTGAGAGGAAAAGAGACAAAAACAAGTTTAATGGCAGTTTAAAAGCAACAGACATCCATTTGACAGTAGTGTTGTCAATCGATTACAAAAAATTAACTAATTAATCGATTACAAAAAATTAATTGCACATTTACAGTAATTAATTGTATATTTATATAATATAGTTATGATTTCACATTGAATCTCCAAATAATGTAGAAATACATTGTTTGACTGGGGAGGGAGGTGTTGTAATAATGTAAAATATGTGAAAAATAATGTTTTTCGAACAACCTAGTATGAGAGCCTGTTCTAGTACACCCCCAAAACAAAATCAAGACTTTGTAAAAGAGCATAATAGGACCCCTTTAACTCGTGCATTGTATTGACATTTCACATAGGAGTATGTTTTAGACTTGCACATATAAAAATATCCATTCGTGCATGCAGTTTTTGTTCCCTCCGTTCCTGTACCTCCACTGAAAAAAATTATTTAATTTTCTAAATTTTTTAAAGGTATGTGGTTGCAATCAATTGATTTTAGCTGCATTTAAATAAACATTAAGTTCATGGAAGACTGGAGGAAGAGGAAGGAAGTTATGTACAAAGTAAATTACACACATCCATACCCAAAATACACATTTTGAAAAGTTATAGTACTGATATATAGTACTACATCCATTTGACAGTAGTGTTGTCAATCGATTACAAAAAATTAACTAATTAATCGATTACAAAAAATTAATTGCACATTTACAGTAATTAATTGTATATTTATATAATATAGTTATGATTTCACATTGAATCTCCAAATAATGTAGAAATACATTGTTTGACTGGGGAGGGAGGTGTTGTAATAATGTAAAATATGTGAAAAATAATGTTTTTCGAACAACCTAGTATGAGAGCCTGTTCTAGTACACCCCCAAAACAAAATCAAGACTTTGTAAAAGAGCATAATAGGACCCCTTTAACTCATGCATTGTATTGACATTTCACATAGGAGTATGTTTTAGACTTGCACATATAAAAATATCCATTCGTGCATGCAGTTTTTGTTCCCTCTGTTCCTGTACCTCCACTGAAAAAAATTATTTAATTTTCTAAATTTTTTAAAGGTATGTGGTTGCAATCAATTGATTTTAGCTGCATTTAAATAAACATTAAGTTCATGGAAGACTGGAGGAAGAGGAAGGAAGTTATGTACAAAGTAAATTACACACATCCATACCCAAAATACACATTTTGAAAAGTTATAGTACTGATATATAGTACTGAGACTGCTCTCATCAGAGTTACAAATTACCTGCTCTTATCATCCGATCGGGGTTGTATTTCTCTATTAGTGCTACTGGATCTTAGCGCTGCGTTTGACACTATCGACCACAACGTCCTTTTGAGTAGACTACAAAATGATGTTGGCATTAGTGGAATCGCATTGTCATGGTTCAAATCTTACTTATCTGACCGTCATCAATCTGTAGCGGTCACGAATTCGGTCCATGGACTTCCGTTTATTCACCACCAGAGGTCACCCTTTCCTTTACATTGATTCTCGCACAACAAACTGTTGCATAGCACCCCGGACTACATATCCCATCATTCATTGCACGATTTGCACACTGCACTGATTACACTCATTGCACACAGCTGTTTCTTATCACCTCACTCACTATATAACACCCACTCAAACCACCATTCTCTGCTGAGTATTGTTTAGCCTGTACCCCTTTCCGAGTCTCCGTGTTTTCCTTGTTTTGCCTTGCCTGTTTTTGCGGTTTCTGATCTTTGCCTGTTTTCCTGGATTTCTCCCTCTCGTCTCGCCCCTGTGATTCTGTCTGCCGATCGGTCTATTCTTGTGTTTTTGCCCACCATATACCTGTTTGCCATTGTTCGACCCTGCCTGTTATACCACGTCTCTTTAATAAAAGCTTGCAGATGGATCCACACATCTCACGTCTCATCAGCCCCGTTACAGTAGCAGTGAATGATGAGATATCATATCGATCACAAGTACAGTATGGAGAACCACAAGGCTCAGTACTAGGACCGCTGCTTTTCACGCTTTACATGTTACCCTTATGAGATATCATCAGGAAACATGGTGTTAGCTTTCACTGTTATGCTGATGATACTCAGCTCTAAATTTCTTCGCGGCCCGATGAAACATACAAATTTGCAAAACTAACGGAATGCATAGTTGATATAAAAACTGGATGACTAATAATTTCCTACTGCTAAATTCTGAAAAAACAGTGTTTTAGGTTATTAAAGGCAGAGGTTTTTGGTCCAATAATTAAAACCTCTGTCTAACACTTGATGGCTGCTCTGTTAATTCCTCGTCATCAGTTAGGAACTTAGGTGTGCTATTTGATAGTAATCTTTCCTTTGAAAACCATGTTTCTAACATTTGTAAAATGCATTTTTCCATCTTAAAATATATCTAAACTACGACCTACAGTATGCTCTCAATGTCAAATTAACAAAAACATTAACTCATGCATTCATGACCTCAAGATTAGATTATTTTAATGCTTTATTGGGTGGTTGCTCTGCGCGCTGAATAAACGAACTCCAGCTGGTCCAAAATGCAGCAGCTAGATTTCTTACTAGAACCAGGAAGTACGACCATATTAGCACGGTTCGGTCAACTCTGCCCTGACTCCCTATTGAACAATGAAAACATTTTAAAATCTTGCAAATTACTTAAAGCCCTGAATGGTTTAGCTCCTCCGTACTTGAGTGAGCTCATATCGCATTATCAGTGGTGGACAAAGTACACAAATCAAGTACTTGAGTAGAAGCACAGATCCGTATAATAAAATATTGCTCGAGTAAAAGTACAGATCCATATAATAAAATATTACTCCAGTAAAAGTACTCCGTTTTCAATTTTACTCGAGGGAAAGTACTTGATTTTATGCATGCAGTTTTATAGGTGCAGTTTTATATAGGCTACTTTTTTCATTTAATTTTATATTAGCATATATATATTTTTTTATAATCCTACTGCTCAAAATACCTGGAATTTTCCCAAAATAACCAATAAGAAAATAATGAATATAATAAGGAAAATATAATAAAAAAAAATTTCTCAAACCTTGTCCGTGGTGTAAAAACACCCCTGGCCAAATGCCCCACTTCCCACTTTGATAATTACTGTAGTTACATGTTTTAAAAACAGACGTCACATAATAAACATAGTAAAACTGCTAATGTTACAGCAGCGGGGAAGATGAACGTGCATGAGTTATTTTATTTAATCGGTGTTATTTTAATGTTTTTTGACCTAAAACAGAGACTCTGATGTTAACCCTTTAGGCGCCAGGGTTTTTTGGAAAAATGCTGGATTTTGACATCAAGATTTCAAAAGCTTGTTGCTTGAAAGGGCTTAAAGAGATCTAATGTAAATTAGAAAAATGTTGGGCGTGACCGAAAGTTTGTGGGGTGTAAATATACTCATTTAATTGGCATATTATGACGTCACCAGCGGGTGACGCCCTGTTGAATGTCATAATATTAAGGAAATAATAGATATTGAATTGATGTTTGAACTTATTTTAGTTTTGTTCTTTTTATCCTCATTACAAATGATCAGAAAAGAGGAAACCAACAATAAAACAGGAGAAAGTACTAAATTATTACTATACTATATAGTAGTAAAACGCATGTGAACAGTAGCCTACTTTTTGATCAGTTCATCAGTAATATTCAGGAAATAATAGATATTGCCCTGCCACCCCCATCCCTGTTGGGCAAAGGGTCGAAATGATCACTTGTTTGTACTTCGTGAACACTCACGCCTTGCACAGCGGCACCATTGTGCTGCAAAGATGTACCGGGAGAAGCGTGATTATTAGACGACAGATCGTCATTTCCAAAAAGGCAAATATTCCCCTTCAGAGTCAGAATCGGCAAATAAAATTTGCAACATCATCACGGTACAACTTTTTATTAGCCCAGTTTCTCTCACAAATCTCACAGCTTACCCGCACGCTATGAACTGAACTGCTTCCGCATCAATGACACGATAGCTCACTTGCTCTGCTATTTCGTCAAGCACTTTGAATAGGTTTGAATTAGGTTGAATTTTGGTCTAGAATCAAAGTACTACATGTCTGCCATCTAGTGGTAGGGAATACAAATGAGATATTACACCATATTAGGAACTACAGTCTATTTGATTAAGTATGACGTCTTGTCGCAATTTTGCGACTTTGGAGCTAAGAGGGTTAATGTGTCTGCATTCAAGCATTTCAGTGATCTTAAACAGATCACCCTTTACAGCAGATTTAGTTCACAAACAACTGACAGCTTTGACCGAAATATGATTTTCAATTACATTAGTTAATCCTAAAATTCAACATTAGTAACTTACTTTTAACAGCATCAGACGCACGCCTGCTCACAAGATCTCCCAGTTCTTACTTGTGAATTCAGTGAATTGTCGACCACTGCGCATTATAGTCCTTCACGTCCGCTGCGATCTCAAAACTCTGGCCATTTGATAATACCTAGAATATCAAAATCAACTCCGGGTGGCAGATCCTTTTCCTATTTAGCCCCCAAACTCTGGCACAATCTACCTAGCATTGTTCGGGAGGCAGACACACTTTGTCAGTTTAATTCTAGATTAAAGACCCATCTCTTTAATCTGGCATACACATAACACAATCACATTTCTATAATTCAAATCCGTTAAAGGATTGTTAGGCTGCATTAATTAGGTCAACCGGAACCGCATTTTTGAAAACATATGTTTTTAATAAGTAGCTAGATAGGAACGTT